GGGAAGTTGTGTACTACTAAATTTTACTCCATGTATTACTAAATTTCACTCCGTAAAATCTATTCTCGGGCATTCTGAATCTGCGAGTAGTTTTAATCAAATTACTAAGGTAAAATAAATAGCGTTTTCGGTTTTGTCTATTATTATGAAATTTATATTTATTTGATATAGTTTGATAAATTAATAATTCTTATACATATATTGCTGCCTTTTTAGCAAAAGGGCATAACGGAATAAGTATGTAAAATCTGCCCCCGCATCCATCGAGCTCAAATTGGTGTCATTAGTTGGCACTTCTGAGGTAAAACTTCTCCAAATATTAGTCTCGAAATTGCATTTTTTGTGAAATTATGGAGGGGGAAGCGTAATAAAAAAAGTGATTTTCTTCGGAAATGACTGTATCGATTTTAATGAAAAAAAATATGTTTTAAACATCGTTTAGATGAGATGAAAAAAATTTCAAAAACATTTTTTCATCTTATCTAAACGATGTTTTCAACATATATTTTTTTCATTAAAATCGATACAGTTGTTTCCGAAAAAAACCACTTTTTTAATTCCGCTTTCCCCCTCCATAACTCCCCGAAAAATGCAATTTCGAGGCTAATATTTGGGGAAGTTTTACATCTCAGGAGTGCCAACTATAAATGACATCAATTTGAGCTCGATTGATGCGGGGGCAGATTTTACATGCTTATTTCGCTATGCCCTTTGATTTATTTTTCAACATAGACTTTTTTTAAAAAATTACTGACACTTATAAAACTGCCCATGTACATAACGTATGATTAATCGACATTTTACAAATTCAATCAAATTCACACTTCAGAACTATTATTATAACTATTAGGTAAAAATATCATTCGAAACTGGTTTTGTTCCACTAAATATTAATTATACAACGCCAAGGAAAGGTATAGATGTTTTGATAAATAATTGTGTTTGTGTAGGGGGGAAGTGGGATGAAAGTCGCTTCGCGTGGAAGTCATGCGCCCTTAAGCACTGGGAGAGGTGCGATGAAAGTCGTTTCGCGTAGAAGTCGTGCACTCCTAAGCAGGGTGAGAAGGATGATTGTTTACATTCTTTAAGAGATTAGTATATACAAATTTAATTTTCATAATATACCTCTTATGCCAATATTATTCTCTGCATATATATTATAGAACTTTAATTTACTATATCTCCTAAATCAATGTTGTCCCCCACTTAATTCTTGTAGAGAATCACTCAGGACATTCTCCCCTACAACATAAATATCTAAAGGACATCGAAATCAGTAAGGTATCACCTAAAATAAATATTTACCAAAGAAATGATTAAATCTAGTAAATCTATTATTTATATACGGAAATTGCAACAGCAAATGTTTTGTAACTAGATAAGCGGTCAAAACGTTTTTGGATGCCATAAATCTGCAATGGCAAATATGATTTCGTATTGCTTCGATCTGAAAGGACCATCTTATACTATCGATGCAACATGCAGTTCTAGCCTTCATGCTCTAGCCGTTGGTTATGAATGTATCATGTCAGGCAAATGCGAAGACGCAATAATTGGCACCACACAATTATGTCTTTATTCCATAATGAACCTGCACTTCGCTCGACTTGGTAGTAACTATAAATATTTATACATTATATTTTTATTAAAATTTAATAGCCTTGTAATACAATAGGCATGACATTTTAGAGAATCACACAAACCATTCCTCATTTACAAATATTATAATAAATTCAAAAAAATCATTTACAAAAAAACTACAATATATAATTTCAATAAAAACGTTTCTAATATATTCAATATATTTAAAAACTGAAAAATACCATATTAGAAGATACTATGAAAATGATCATTTTGATTTAAACATAATCCATTATACGCACGTTTAAATATGTTTACTATACTTCTTAGGTACTTTGTCACCCGACGGTTATTGCAGACCATTTGATATCGCTGCTAACGGTTATTCGCGTAGCGAAACAATTGAAGTAATATACCTTCAAAAAGCGAAAAATGCTAAGAGAATTTATGCCATATGTCCCCATGTAAAATTAAAGAGCGATGGTTACAAAGAAGAAGGAATAATGCATCCTTCATCTCGAATGCAACATATCTTACTAAAGGAATTTTATGAGGAGTGCAAAATACCAACATCATGTTTGGATTATTTCGAAGCACATGGTACCGGTACCGTAGCTGGTGATCCTTCAGAAATTAATGCTATCTATAATGTTTTTTGTAAAAATAGAGAAACTCCTTTAATGATCGGCTCCGTGAAATCTAATCTCGGGCATTCTGAACCTGCGAGTGGTTTTAATCAGATTGCTAAGGTAAAATAAATGGTGTTTTCGGTTTTGTCTATTATTGTAAAATTTATTTTTGTTTGATATAGTTTGATAAATTAGTAATTCTTATATATATTACTGCTTTTTTTTTCAAAATTTGATTTATTTTTCGTAATCTTCTTTCAAAAAGTCACTGACTTATCAAACTGCTCATGTACATAATGTACGATTAATCGACATTTTACAAATTCATTCAAATTCATACTTCAGAACTGTTATTGTAACTATTAGGTAATAATAGCATTCGAAACTGGTTCTGTTCCACCAAATATCAATTATACAACGCCAAGGAAAGATATAGATGCTTTGATAAATAACAGTGTTTGTGTAGTACAAAAACCATTGCCACTTAAAAACGGTTATATAGGTATTAATTCTTTCGGTTTTGGAGGATCTATTGCTCACACGTTATTAAAGTGGAATAATAAACTAAAAATAAATAATGGAGCACCAAACGATGACTTACCTAGGCTTGTCATATTATCTGGACGCACTGAAGAATCAGTGAAATTGTTTTTAAAAGACGTTAGTGTAGATTTTTCAAAAATATTTCGATACTACTTTGAACAATTACAGATACTGTATTCCAATTAAAAAATATTTATTATTACAGATTGCTAACCATCCAATAGATGTAGAATATGTTCGCTTATTACACGATATCCATGCAGATAATATAAACGGTCATCCATGGAGAGGGTACACTATATTGCAGAATACCTTACAACAAGATCCCATAAAGGAAATTCGAAATTGTGAGGGCGTCAAAAGACCTGTATGCTTTATATTTTCAGCCTTAGGTTCGCAATGGCCAGGAATGGGTACATACTCAATATTTCATATTTTATTAATAAATTACATACTTAAATAACAAAATGATATAATTTAAAAACTAAAATCTTATTAGGTCGAAACTTATTAAAGTTCCATGTCTTTGCTAAAGCGATAAAAAAATGCGATGATATTTTAAAGCCGTATGGTATAAGTGTCATAGACATTATGACAAAAATAGAAGAAAGCATATGCGAAAACAGGTTGAACATTTTTCTCGGAATCGTCGCTATTCAGGTAAAGAATTTATTATTTTATATATATAAGTATCAATAATATTATATTTGTAAGTAAAACACATACGCTTCTTATATAGGAAGAGGAAAAAGTACCGGGACACCTAAATAACTTCTGAACGGTTCGAGATAGAGGATTGAAGTTTATAGGGATGTAAATGGCACCATAAAACCTATCATTTAATACCAAAAACGCTCATTTTAACACCCCCGGGGAGCGGGGGGAAGGGAGGGGCGGAAAAATCTTAAATTGCAAAGATCTTAAATTGCGAAAAAAAATCGCAGAGACCTGGGACATTACGCATTGTTCTTGAAAGGCTCTTTCAAACGAGCCCTTACTCGATCTCACGTACAATTTAAGATTTTTCCGCCCCCCTTCTCCTCCGCGCCCCTCCTCCCCCGGGGGGTGTTAAAATGGGCGTTTTTTGTATTAAATGATAGATCTTATTATAACATTGCATCCCTATAAACTCCAATTCTCTATCTCGAACCGTTTAGAAGTTATTTAGATGTCCTTTTTCCTCACCCTAATGTTGTTATTCTCCATAAGAACTGAATCACATTTTATGGAGAATAAGTTTTTCATCACATTTTATTATTTCGTCCATAATTATACATATATAAAGTGTCCACCTATTTACATATATATATTTATTTATAGATTGGCTTAGTAGATTTCCTAACATCCTTAGGAATTACTCCCGATTACATAATTAGTCATTCTGCCGGTGAACTTGGTTGTGCATACGCAGATAAATGTCTCACTATTGAACAAACTATTTTATCAGCATACTTTATCAGTTTGGCATGTACCGAAGAAAAAATAATTCATAGCTCGATGGCAGTTGTCAATATCAATCATGAGTATGTTAGAAATATATGTCCAGCGGACATTGAAATAGTGTGCCACAATAGCGAGAATAGCAACGTCGTATGTGGACCAAAAGAATCCATAAAAGAATTTATGAAACAATTACAGGTAGAATTAAAAATAGCTCATATAAGTTAGTGGATTAAAAAAATACTTAGGTTTTCAAAACATTGAAAAATGAATTTCATGCCATAATCAGCTACAACTGCATGTGTTGCATTTTTTTATAATCAGGACAACAATATTTATGTGAAAAAGATCAACTGCAACATACCGTTTCACAGTTCTTACATTGCATCCGCGGAAAGTCAGCTTTTACTAAGTTTAAATAAAATAATACCATGCCCAAAAAAACGGAGTTCCAAGTGGATCAGCACGTCTATACCTCGCGCCAAATGGTTTACTTCAACATCAAAGTTATCATCGGCAGACTATCACACTAGAAGTATATTAAACACAGTTCTCTTTTCACAAACGACGGAACTAATTCCAAGTAACGCTGTGATCATCGAAATCGCACCAGACGATGTTCTACATTACGTTTTGACAGGCTCTTTATCTCTAAACGTGACAAATTTAGTATTAACACGACGAACCGAAAAAAATATTAATATAATTCTACAAGGAATTGGAAACCTTTACAATTGCGGTTTACAGCCACAAGTTGCCAATTTATACCCATCAGTTGAATTTCCAGTTAGTCGAGGAACTCCTATGATTTCCCCATCAATCAGGTAACCATATCTTATCATAACATATCATAGTAATCATAACTTAGATAATATCTATATAAGAAAAAATGTATATAATAGGTGTACAACTTTGCTTCCGCCGTTTTTTTCCGAAATTCGAGGCTTTATTGTAAAAAACTGGTTATACATTTATGATTCAAAGTATTGTTCATCGCTGGCTACTACTTTCTCCCATCTTTCGGGCAGCGTACGAATCCCGCGTCGAAAAAACTGATCATCTTTTGAGGCGATCCACGAATCGATCTAATTTTTTATTTCTTCATAAGACCGGAAGTGCTGGTCAGCCAGGCCGTGTGCCATTGATCGAAACAAGTGATAGTCAGAAAGAGCAACGTCTGGAGAATACGGCGGGTGGGGTAGAACTTCCCATTTCAACGTTTCTAAGTATGTCTTGACCACTTTCGCAACATGGGGTCGAGCATTGTCATGCTGCAAAATCACTTTATCGTGTCTCTTGTTGTATTGCGGCCATTTGTTTTTCAATGCTCGGCTCAAACGCATCAATTGCGTTCGATACCGATCGCTTGTGATTGTTTCAATCGGTTTTAACAGCTCATAATACACTACGCCGAGCTGGTCCCACCAAATACAGAGCATGACCTTGGAGCCGTGAATATTCGGTTTGGCCGTCGACGTGGAAGCATGGCCGGGAACTCCCCATGATTTCCTGCGCTTGGGGTTATCGTAATAAACCCATTTTTCGTCCCCAGTTACAATGCGATGCAGAAATCCCTTCCGTCTTTGCCTTTCAAGCAGCTGTTCGCAAGCAAACAAACGCCGTTCAACATCTCTCGACTTCAACTCGTACGGCACCCAATTTTCTTGCTTCTGAATCATTCCCATGGCTTTAAGGCGTTTTGAAATGGCTTGTTGAATCACTCCCAATGATCGTGTCAATTCTTCTTGATTTTGAGACGAGTCTTGATCAAGTAATGCCTCCAATTTTGCATCTTCGAAAACCTTCTTTCTTCCACCGCTATGCCGGTCTTCGACGTCAAAATCACCATTCTTGAAGCGTTGAAACCACTCACGACACGTTCTTTCACTAATAGCGGCCTCACCATAAGTATTTGACAGCATTCGATGAGGCTCAGCCGCAGATTTCTTCATATTGAAGCAGAAAATTAAAACCTCCCGCAAATGACGAGAATTTGGCTCGTAACCTGACATTTTCAATCGAGAATAACTTTATGATGCAGACACAGATCGACTAATGTTTCTATGGGGTTATGTTGGCAAATGCCCAAGTTTATTGTATGACGTTTATGATCTATTTATTTCGACCACCACTTACCGCTAAAGCCATCTATAGGGAAACGGCGGAAGCAAAGTTGTACACCTAATATATAGATATATAATATGTATGTATAAATATATGGAATATGTATTATTAATTACAAACATGCAATTAGATGCAATTATTGATCATATAATATAAAATAATATTTATTTATATTAAAATAGTTGGCCCAGTAATCGACACGTTAACCAAAACGCTTGACTTTGCAAATTTATATTTTTCGGATTAAAAAGTGAGTGACTGTATTTTAGGTCATTTTAAATCAATTTTTTGTAACGAATAAAAACGTCACTCTGAAATTCTTATACGTGCTGCCATCGTTGAAAAAATTCTTTGTAAAAATTAGAAGGTTCAAACGTACGAGTTATCGCCATACCGCCATAACGGTTTGCCCAATAATCGTCATGGGTATGTCCCACTGTTTCGACTAAATTCAATAAAAACTCAGTGCGCTCACTCTTTTAAATCATCATAGCATTTTCAGAAGCATATAAATCATATTGTTAAATTCTTGTGCTCATTGTCGATTTAATTTCGATGTTATTTCGGTCGACAGCTATTATGTTCAAAACACGCTTATTCTCGGTACCGACGCACAGTGGATCGAAACATATGAAAGAGCGGACATTGTACTTTGGAGAGACAAAGTACATAAAAATAAAGCGAAATTCTTTCTATCGGCGCGCTCTCATTAGTGCAATTACAAACTTTAATATCTCGATTATCGTTACGAATATCGCTAAACGATAAAGGACTTTTATATTTATTTCAATCCCATCTACCTTTCTGTGGATAATTGGAAAAGTCTCGCTGGACAACCTGTTTACGTGTATATACGTACATATTATAATTATATATTTTATAATATTTTATAAAATGTATAATATATATTATTTATAATAAAAAATATATATTATATAATATAATCTGATAAATTACCAATTAATATAAAAACTAATAAGTTTTTACAAACTCCTTTAATTAAAATAATTAATAAAACCATAAAATATGTATTACAAGCAATAGGAGTCGACGTTGGTTATCAGTTAGCGCAATTTTTCTTAATACTAAATATATGAACCTTAACTTTGAACGTTTCCTCTCATGGTTTGAATCTTCATCAGCAATCTTTTACCTTAGCATAATTGTGGAGTATTGCATGACAAAATTATATCTCCAACGTTTTTCCTCTCAAATATTGAACCGTTTACTGTTGTGAGGTAAATCACATACTCACAAAGTTAGAAAGCTGAGTGGCAATGAGAACTCAAGCTCACACAGTTGACGCTTCTACACTGAACAATGAATCTCTCTTATTTAACATTTTGTAACTCGTTAATATGTTATAAATTATCGTCAAATTTTAAAAAGTAACTGCGAGAACAATATGTGTCTTGTCATTTCTCGACAATCGGTTAAAGTTAAATTAATCAATAAAAATATCAGCAAGCCTTACGATCGGCAGAAAACACTAAAATACGTCTTTAATCCTTTGGTCTACAACCACGAGTGAGACTCGTGGTAAGGAATTTGGTCCATAAACAATAAGCACGAGTCACACTCCTTACCACGAGTCTCACCAAATTCCTTACCACGAGTCTCACTCGTGGTTGTAGGCCAAAGGGTTAATATGTAAACTTGGCGATTACTGGTACCCTGACGATTTCTGAGTCAACTACCTTATATATATACAAGTTGTAATCTTAGAACATACATACTGGAAGGGTTATACCGTATGTAACCAATGTAATAAAAGTGTCTCCAATATCTATCTGTCCTTGTCTAAATGCTTGTTTGCTATGCGCTTGCGCAAGATGATATCGCGTAATTCGAACTTGAAAAAATATAGATTAGTTATCAAAATATTATTTGAAATTTGAAAACAATGGAAAAAAATCTTCCCAGCTATCAAATTTTCGTCATTGTTGATTATAACTATACACATAAAATACACACATATTTTATATATTTATATAATTTAAATTAATTCAATACATAATCTTAAAGCTTGGCTTAAAATTATCTACGAAGTGAAGCTATACTTACGCGTGACGAGATATTTTAGTTTGCTTCGTTGATATTTCAAGACATAAAACGCAATAATGTCCCATTTTTTAACAATTCTATATGCTTTCGTTTCACGAGCATTGAAATTTGAACATATTCATAATCGACGCATATGCATTACGGTGAAGCATTCAGACAAGAATAGATAGATATTAATACCATCGACAATCACTTATGGTCCTTTCAGTATGTATTATGTTCTAAGGTTGTATATATTATATGTATGCGCGGTACGTATAATTATTCACGTATAAACATGAATTATAACAAATCAGATGGGATCATTCTGCAAATTGGTTTATACCGAAAGAAGATCAAGGATTTATAGAATCGAGAGGAAGATACGTCAACATTTTACTTGACGATGAGGAATATAAATATATGAGCGATCATGTAATTGATGGGAAAAATTTGCTACCCGCGACAAGTTATTTGGGACTCGTTTGGAAAACTATTGGCATGTTAAAAGGGGTAATATACACAACGGTACCGATAGTTTTCCGAGATATAAAATTTATTCGTGCTACTCATTTGTCGAGAAATGATGCTGTGGAACTATATATTGCAATACAGACAGGTATTTACAGGATTAATTGTTTTAATTTAAGTGGATTTTCTCTGAAATTTCCATAGCAGTATTTGCAGGTTCATTGTATCTTAAATTATTGTTTAAACATTTATTATAATATAATTTTTTGCAAGGCAGTTGAAAAAAATATCTGGATCCGGTGGATTAGCGAATACCGATCACGGTTAATGTAGTATGATGATAAAAATGCAGTATAATCAAATATATACGAATATTACAGATGGAAAGTTTGAAATAACCGAAGGAGACAGCATTGTCGTAACGGGTACAGTATACGAGACATTGAATCCAGAACAAGAAATGGTTCCGACACATCTATTATCGGAGAATAGTGATGAAGATGAAAATATGACTGCACGAGATGTCTACAAAGAATTGAAATTGCGTGGATACCAGTACAGAGGCTTATTTCGTGGATTAAAGAGTGCCTCTATTTCGGGAAGCCAAGGACATATCATTTGGAAAAGTAATTGGGAATCTTTTATGGATACTATGTTACAAATGCTAATTATCGGATATGATACTAGGGAATTATGTGTTCCTACGAGTATTGAAAAATTAGTAATCAATCCAATGCTTCATATTTCAAAGCTGCAGGATAACATAGATAATGCAGAAGTTACAGCAAACATGGATAAACGTAAATAACTTCCATTATTAATTCATTCCCAATCAGCAGACCACATTGATTAAATGTTTTTTAAATATTTTTTCTTTATTGATTTTACATTTGTAGGTTACCATTGCAAATAAACATTTATTAAACATTTAAAAAATATTTAATTTACATTTAAAATATTTAATTTACATTTAAAATTCATGTGTCAACTAAACGTTTCTAAAATATTTATTTTAGATTTATTTTACATTTATTTCACATTTATTAGTCATTTATAACATATATGTAACAAATATTTTTTTTACGTTTATTTAATATTTATTTTACATTTAATTCACATTTATTTTACATTTATTTCACATTTATTATAGTCTTTTGTAACATACATGCACACGTAACTTAAATATATTCTTTTCACGTTCCTTTAATATTTATTTTAGATTTAATTCACATTTATTTTACATTTATCACTAGTACGTACTTTTCTCATATATGTCGTACACGAATAGTAACAAGACGCCGATACGTAATAAATACACGACAATTTTTTTTCAAGTTTATTATATTTTTATATTTACGTATTACATGTTTTATTTCTATAAATGAAAATAAAAATATATGTTCGTTTATATACGAAAAAAAATGATTAACATTACACATAATACAAAAATTGATTAAGTATCTCCGATTAACATTTCTTTTTCAGATTTTATACTCGATCGGTTTCGAAAGTACGGTGGAAGGTTCGACTTGAATAATCGTCATAATTTTCAAATTTTTTTGTGAATTTT